AAGCCCCCATTGAAAGTCCGCCCGTTATTCTCTAAATGTTCTTCAGTAAAATTTGAAGATTCTAGATCTAATAGTTTCTCAGATATACGAATTTTTCTATTTAATTCATATAGGAGCTCCAAGCCCCCCAAATGAAAGTCCGCCCTTTTTTCTCAAAAATGTTCAGATGAATATTAAAGTTCTTCTTCTTCAAGAACAACATCATTTAAAGGGATCACAAAGAGATTGAAAAATATTCCAAAAGTTTCACTTTGAAAACATTATTAGAGTGTATGAAAACTCGCAACTCTAAAGGCAGACTATTCCTATTTTAGCGGTAATTTCTTTATGATTAAAATAAGTAAGAAGTAAGAGTTATATTCGGCTAATCATATGTCGTAAAAAAGCAAATTTCGGAAGTGGTCATATACATATATATATATATATATATATATATATATATATATATATATATATATATATATATATATATATATATATATATATATATATATATGGACTTTGATCATTAGATTAATAAGAACGTCACCGTGATTTTCGGATTAGGGACTTAAATGTGGAATTGGATCAATTATGGACAAAGTTCTCTATAATTTAAAGCATTTTTTTTTTAATTCTTCCATAATTCTATCATAATGATAACTTTTGGAATGATGTATTAGCTATAAACTGATTTTCTGTAAGAGGGTTATATTGGCGGACCGATCCTCATAATTTTATTTTTCATAAATGTAGATTTCGGTTCCTAAAAATGTTTTTTTTTTTTCGTCGACATCGACATTTGAAAGTTATTTATGTGCGTTTAAGTCATTTTCTGAAGAAGATTTCATATACATATTTACATATTTTCGTTCCAACAAAAATTGTTTTATTATGGTATTATTAAGTACGTAGAAAACGTTAAAATCAATTATTGAAGGGGGCAGGGTCAATTATGGCCTATAGAGATTTCGATTGATATCGAGCCCTTTTTGCAAAATGGACGTAAGTGAGATAAATTTTCGTTCAATTAGGATACTGCGTGTTTAATTTTATGTTTATATATTCAATATTTTAGAAAATTCAAAAAGTACCAGTTAACGAAAAATTACCAGAAATACCCCAGTTTAAATTTTCATTCACTCAAGTCCCTGATTGCTTAGTTTTATGTATTTAGGTTCATTATAATAGAAAATTCAAAAAGAACCAGTTGAAGAACGAAAAAGTTCCAAAAAGTCCCGTTTTATATGTTATCACTTACTCCATGCCCTACAGGTTTAATTTCATGTCTATAGGTTCAATATTATAGAAAATTCAAAAAATACCCTTTGAAGAACGAAAAAGTACCAAAAAGTCCCCTTTTATATGTTATCACTTAATCCGGTCTGTACATTCCTAAATTCATGTTTCTAGGTTCAATATTATAAAAAATTCAAAAAGTACCAGTCGAAGAACGAAACAGTACCAAAAAGTGCCATTTTATAGATTCTCATTTACTCCAGTTTCTAAGTGCATAATTTCATGTTTCTATGTTCAATTTGATAGAAAACTCAAAAAGTACCTTTTGAAGAACGAAAAAGTACCAAAAAGTCCCCTTTTATAGGACCTCACTTAATCCGGGCTCAACCATTTGAATTTAAGTATAGCGCTCCAGGGGCGGCGCTTTCGAATTTGACCTATCTTTTTCAACATTTCAAATTTGGACCACATGTTATAAAATCCCAAAGGTGGAATCAGAAAACGAGAGAAATGGGAAAAATTGTAAAAAATAAAATTTTTTGGATTTTCGGTACATTTTGCACTTTTTATATTATTTTTAACGAAAACAACAGGTTAGCATCACTGTTAATCATATGTTAGTGTAATAATTCACAATAACACATTTAAACTTACAATAGCACAAAAACAGAGTTGTTCTAAGAAACATACAGGGTTCGGGTTATATATTTAATTTAAATGCAGGGAATGGAATATATTATAAAATAGCAATAAATTTCCTTTAATAAAAAATCTTGCAATCATTACAAGATGCAAAAAAAGATATTGCACGTCCCTAAGTCATTAAAATACTGACTTTAAATTACCATTATACAGAAAATCAACAGTTGTTGCTAAGTAATTTTGGAAAATAATTTTTCATATTAATATGGATACTTTTTTCATTTTATTGAATATAACAAATTGTTTATTTAATAAGGTTATTCTAGTATTAAAGTGACATTTTTAAATGGTATGTATATTTTTATTTTAGTTATGTATGTAATTATTATGTATACCAATTAAAAGAATGGTTAATGAGAGATGAATTTATGTATTTTTTTTATTTAACAATATTAAGGATGAATAAATTCGTTAGCAAAGAAAACCTATTGATTGTGTAATAGTTAGTTTTTGTTTTGTTTTTCTTAATTGTCAGTATATAAAAATTATTATTAGTTTTCCTATCAATTACAAAAGGGATTCACAGTTTCATGTTTAATATTACGCGAAAGAAAATGATTTCGTGCAAAAATAAAACAAAATATCTTGTTTGGGCAACGATGATCAGAATAATTTCTACGAAACTAGACTTTTATAGAATTTGAAATACTTCTATTCTTTAATTAGCCAAAATATTTGAAATTCCTACAGCAAAAATATTGTGCAATTTTGATTACATTTATCAAAACTCTATTTTAAAGAGTAGGATCTTGTCAATACTGTATCACAGGGTATACAGAGGCGTGTTTCATATACCTCTGTGTTTCATATACCTGTTTTCACCAAACAATTTCAAAACCAAAGAAAAGCTGATTTTGGTAGACTTTTTAAATGTCAAAAGTGACACCTCTGTATACCTTGTGACTGTATTGTACAGAAGAGATTCTTGACTAGACTCCTTGGAATGTGATCAGCGAATTGATAGATTATATTAAAGACAATATTGACTTTGCCGAAAATTTTCAATAAAAAACGAGTATTTGTAATAAGGAAATCGGGTTTTGGTGTTTTTTTTTATCAAAAAATATATTTGTTTCATTCACTCCTATTCAGCATTTCGATTACGTTTCCGCATTCTGTTACACAACGGTTACAAAAAAAACGGAATCGTAAGAAAAGTTAACGTTTTTGTAAGTTGTTATTTTAGTGAAAGAGAGTGGAATCCATGGCATAATCATTTAAATTAATACATCTTGGTAGAATCGAATTGCAGAATATCAAAGTGGCCAAACGGAGGAAAATCCATACATCAACAAAGGGCATTTCAAAAATGCCCAAAAAGGGATTCAATATCTGAGTCCTACTTGGCTAATGTTGTAACGATTACTTACACTGATGGCTCCAAGAGCGAAAGGGTTAGTGGTGGTTGATAGATGATTATCACATATCGGAATATATGTATATACATATGACAGGAAATCGATCAGAAATCTAGCGAGTGTCTCCACGAAATTTAAGTTAACCGAGGAAAGCGGGGTATCTCTAAATGAGATAACGAGACATTCCAGGATAACGCTAATATGTGAATGAAAGTAGGATGAAATCGACACCTTTACTGATATTTTACTTACACATTGTAAGGCACTTGTTAAAACTGAACTATATAAAATGGATCAAATCAGATGGTTCAGCGAAACAACCAGCCACAGATTGCTTTCATCGATATGATGGTTCAGCAAAACAATCAGCCTTATTTCGAGGTCAACTTGGCATCTATATGATGCCGATAGGTCAATATTACTGTTAAGTCTTCATAGGATGCATATGTGATTGCTTTTATCTATATGATCCTTATTTTCGAGGTCAATTTGGCCTGTGCTATTGTCAATCATGCTAGGATACTAGGTCTAGAATATAATGATTTCTTAAGAAGTTGTCATAACGAGAAGGAAGAGGAGATTGTATTTCATCTTCTCTGCTATTGTCGAACATTCAACGAGAGAGATGAGAACAATGTTACGGTTCTCCTATTCTTATAGGGTATCACAACGGGATCACAAATTAAGCAATTGAGTGGCTATCCTTAGTAAGTTAGTTTGAAAGGAGTATGTATATACATCAAATCCGAAGAAATACACCTAGGCCTCTATCGGGCCTGTTGTGCGCTCCTTAACCAGTGCCTCAGGTGGGAATCGAATCCACCACCTCCGGTCTACCAGACTAGAACATTAACCACTAACTTACCGGAGGCCACCTTTGGCTACCCTTAGTATCTAAAAACTTTTATGCATGTTTACAAGTTAAAAGTTTCTAACATGTTAAAAGCCATTAAAATAAACTTTAGATTATAGAGATTCGTAAAAATCGAATTGATCGGAATAAGGTAAAATCCATTCCATAAATTAAACTGAACAAAAAAGTACCAAATGACATGATAAAAGTGAATGAAACTGCAAATCCCTTCAATTGTTATTTGTAATTTTATCATCATCATTATCATTAGTTTTATAAATTGTTAATTGTTATTCTTGAATTGTCGTCGTATATAGTAAATTAAGTTTACCTACGGTAAATGTAATTGAAATAGATTTGTTTGTATGCGTGTGTGTGTGTTTGTCTTTTTTTTCATATGTATAAAAAAGAAATAAAATATTATTGCGAGTTTATTGTTATAAATTTTTTATAGCTTATTATTTCATTCATTTAATTTTTTTCTTTTGTTTTCATTATTAAAACATAAACAAGCACTTGTTGTAGTTAAGAATAAGAGAAATTAAAACAAGAAGCAATTAAAAATTATAAGAATAATTAGTTTTATTTTAAAATAAACATAAACTGAAGTTGTTATTAAAAAAATAAAAATAAAATAAAAAATTGTGTTTTTTTTTGCATTAAAAAAATTGTATATATAATTAAATAATAATTAAAAAATATATTTATATGTATGTATATAATTAAAGAACAGGGGAAGAAGGATAATCTAGGAGAGTATAAGTAGAAAGAAAAAAAGTGAAGAAAAAAGAAAGAGCATGATTTGAAATTGTTATTTAAATAATTTGCATTATTTAAGACAATACATAATAACGGTTTTTATTTAAATTATATTTTTTTTTGTTTTGAGGTGGTGGTGTTTTGAATTTTTTTTTTAAATCTTGTTATTAAATTAAGAAAAAATAAAAGCCAATGTATATTTTTCCAATTAAAAGACTCACTTATTTACAACATGCTCACAATTAAGAACATTCGCTTGATAAACGACGAATGTTTTATTAAGTTATAAGAAGAATTTAGACAAAGAACGCGTTTCACACGAAAATCATAATTAAAAAATGTTCTTTCCTTTTTTTAATTTATGTATAAATGCATTTTTTTTCCAATACTTTTTTATTTGCTTTTTTATATATTTTTTTATAAAAATTTTATTTTTTTTTATAATTTTAATATTATTAATTTTAAGTAGTTAATAATAATAATAATTAATATTTTTTGTAGGTATTTAAAGGGTAGTAGGGGATAATAATAAGGGTTTTTTATTTGTTGGGGAGAGTATGGTGGGGGTAAATTGGAGCAAAAGGAAGAATATCTAGTTGTAGTAGTAAGAAACAATAGATCATTTAATTTATTATTTTTTGTTTTTTTTTTCGTTTTTTTACGTTTCTTCATTATTTTCTTTTTTTGTTTGTTTTTTTTACAAAGATCATGTTTTAATTTAATTGTTGTGTTTACTTTTTTAGCTGTGTTTTTGTTGTTGTAAAAAATAAGTAAATTTTATAAAAAAAAAAATTAACAGAAATTAATGTAAAAAACTTTTTTTGCTTTCTTTTTTCACTTAATTTGAAAAAAATAATAATAATTTTTAATTTTTTAGAATTTAATTTCCAGAATCTTCGCCATCTAATGATTCATCCTGTACTGAAGAACTGTCATCGCCCCGCTTTGAGGAGGGTGTACCGGTAAGACGGCTCGAACTTAGACCCATGCCGCCGGTGCGTCTGAAATAAATTAAATAGAAATAAATTAGTTCCAGTTGAACAGATTTTATTTAAATTTTTAAAACATGCAATTGTTAGTCAAACGATTTGGTGGTAAGTTTAGGTAACAGTACACAAGAACGAGTGTTTTATTACGATTTTAACGGAGTCGGTTTTTGCAGTGTTTTCATTACTTAAGATAGATTAAGCAAAAAGTATCCTTTTTAAATCCTGTTTCAATATAATATTTTACGTTTATATTCAATGACGTCCCAGATTATAAAATTAAAAACTTCGAATTGAATATGGTTGACAAGAAGGTAAGTAAGTAAGTAAGTAAGTAAGTAAGTAAGTAAGTAAGTAAGTAAGTAAGTAAGTAAGTAAGTAAGTAAGTAAGTAAGTAAGTAAGTAAGTAAGTAAGTAAGTAAGTAAGTAAGTAAGTAAGTAAGTAAGTAAGTAAGTAAGTAAGTAAGTAAGTAAGTAAGTAAGTAAGTAAGTAAGTAAGTAAGTAAGTAAGTAAGTAAGTAAGTAAGTAAGTAAGTAAGTAAGTAAGTAAGTAAGTAAGTAAGTAAGTAAGTAAGTAAGTAAGTAAGTAAGTAAGTAAGTAAGTAAGTAAGTAAGTAAGTAAGTAAGTAAGTAAGTAAGTAAGTAAGTAAGTAAGTAAGTAAGTAAGTAAGTAAGTAAGTAAGTAAGTAAGTAAGTAAGTAAGTAAGTAAGTAAGTAAGTAAGTAAGTAAGTAAGTAAGTAAGTAAGTAAGTAAGTAAGTAAGTAAGTAAGTAAGTAAGTAAGTAAGTAAGTAAGTAAGTAAGTAAGTAAGTAAGTAAGTAAGTAAGTAAGTAAGTAAGTAAGTAAGTAAGTAAGTAAGTAAGTAAGTAAGTAAGTAAGTAAGTAAGTAAGTAAGTAAGTAAGTAAGTAAGTAAGTAAGTAAGTAAGTAAGTAAGTAAGTAAGTAAGTAAGTAAGTAAGTAAGTAAGTAAGTAAGTAAGTAAGTAAGTAAGTAAGTAAGTAAGTAAGTAAATAAGTAAGTAAGTAAGAAAGTAAGTTCTGGTTGTCGTTATTTCTAGAACCCGTACTGTGGAAAGCTGCAGTGATTCAAACATACTTCTAGGAGTTCTCTCTAACTAAGGAGTTCTCAAGAAAACTAGTTCCTTGACACATTGGTATTTAACTAGTTCAAAGCAACGCGCACAAATTCTGAACAACATCAACTTGATGCAATGTATTCATATAAGGACTAAGAAGATTCGAAAATTCCAATATCCTTTGTAAAAATCTTAAAAAAGAAAATGGTGGCCGCAGAATGATTTCAAATTATCACGAATTCTTCTAATGATATCGTAAGTTCTCTAAATATAATTGGAAATAAGAACTTTCCAAACTGTTCAAAACAAGATGCATTTGTTCCCTAAAGCTAGTGCTTAGAACTTTTTTCATAACAGTTCCATAGGACGCATGACATCTTAATAACACTTTCACAAACCAGTTCCAAAAGTGATAATCTTGAACAACGCCAAAATATATATAACAAGTAGGACTATAAACACGCGTTCTAGAACTAGTTGTGAAACTAATGCAAATTTTTCTTCGGATTCTTTAAGAAGATATTTTTTCTCCCTTAAAAGGTTTTAAATATAAAATTATGCTTAATCAAACAATAAATAGTTTCAAACTAATACGGGGGGTAACAAAAAAATCTGGTAAATTGTTTGATAACTGGGAAAATTGGACGTGCAAACAAACTTGGAATTAAAGATCAAAAGTACAGGGGAAAATCGTGCAAGAATAAATAAAAATTCAAACTAATGTCTTAAAAGGAAACGTTCTGTATGCAAAAGAACGACAAAGTTTGAAGGACTAGGTATGGGTTTGTAAAAACGAAAAGAAAAAACCTGTTAAAATAAAAAGTTAAAACTTACACTGTTTTAAAAAAACTAAAAAACGGACGATAATTATTTAAGACAAATAAGTTTATGTATTATGTTGACAGGAAATTTAACAAATATGTATTGTGTGTGATGTTTTCTTTTTGATTTTTGGTTGTTAAGTTAAACATTTATAACAAAACATTTTGTTTCTACTACTAGACATACACACACACACTGTTTATTGTATACCCTCACAATTCATTATAAGAGTTGGATCCTTTTTGGGTGAATAAGCCTTAGCCTTTTCAGTTTCGGCGACTTGTATTGACCTATTATTCATTATTATTACGAATTTATATTTAAAAAAATAATTGCATATTTTTATAAAGAAAAAAATAGAAAACATTTAAATTGTTAAAAACTTACCTTAATTTTGTTTTGAGGGAATTAATTTCACGATTCATGGCTTCTTGGCTTTCGATCATATCCTCACATTCACGTTGGTATTTGCGTTTTTGGGTCTTTTCCTTTTGTAGCTCTTCCTCTGTTTCGTCCAGATTACGTTTAAGTAATTTCATGCGACTATTAAGCTGTTATGTAAAAAAGTAAGTTAATATTCAAATCCAGTTATATATTTACTTTGTAACTTACTTTATCTATTTGCTCTTTGTATTGATCGGCATGTCGGCGCTCATCTTCAATGTTCAAGCCCAATTCCTTGATTTTCTTCTCCATCTTGCGGTTGGCTTTCTGTTGCAATAGACGCTCTTTACCCTCGTTGTCGAGCTGTTCTTCCAGATTGGCAATCTTGGCTTCGAGTGTGGCAATGGTGGCCTTGATTTTGGTTCTTTGCGCTGTTTCGATTTCGGCCAGTTTTGCTTTCAGTTCCTTGTTTTGTCTTTCCAAAAGAGCTCTTGTGTTCTCGTTCTTTTGCGCATTTGACTTTTCTGTGGCCAATTCCGTGGACAATTGTTCGTTCAACAATTGGGCCTTGCGACTACGATCGAGTAGTATTTCAGAGTTGGATTGTTCCTCTTCGAGTTCTTCTTCCAATGAGGCAATGCGGGCTTCTAAACGACGCTTCTCGTCAATCATAAGTGTTCCCTTGCTGGCGTTGGCAGCCATTTCTTCGGCCAACTCATCACGTTCTGTTTCGGCGGCACGACGCGCTCTCTCCGAACTGGCCAAATCTTCTGTAAGTTGCATAACTTCAGCTTCGAGGGCTTTCACTTTACGTTCAGCCTCTTTGCTGAGAGCTTGCAGTTCCTCCTTAGCGGCCTTGGCTTCTTCGGCCTCGCGTAGGGCATCCTTAACCTGCACTTGCAATTTCTTGGCATGCTTGAGGGCGTCTTCTTTCACCTTGTTGTGCATTTCCATTGTGGTTTCCAGTTCTTTAAGATCACCTTCAAGTTTCTTTTTGGCAGCTACAGCGGCTGTACGTTGTTTGCGTTCTTCATCCAATTCAGCCTCGAGGTCGCGCAGTTGTTTAACCAGACCACGACGTTTCTCTTCGGCTTGTTCTTCCTTGGCTTGTAGATCGCGTTCGAATTGGGAACGCAAGGCTTGCATGTTAACTTCTAAACGCAATTTGGCATCTTCGGTCAATTGGAGATCATCTTCCAATTCTTCATTTTGTGCTTTAAGTTCGGCCAATTGGGATTCCAAGGCTCGTTTAGCCTTCTCCAATTCGTGCACATTCTTATCAGCGGTACCTTGTGTATTGGCCAAATCGTCCAATTCATTTTGTAATGCCTTGCGTTTGGCTTCCATATCTTCGATCTTGTCGTAGGCTTCGTCCAATTCACGGCTCAATGAAAGCACCTTTGTCTCCTTTTCGCGGGCTTCGCGCTCGGCCGTATCACGTTCTTGAGCATATTGTTCTGAAATTGATTTCTCTTCGGCCAATATTTTATCAAAGTTCTTTTGTTTCTTCTCCAATTCAAGCACCTGGTTTTGGGAAATTTACCATTTAGTTGGGGGAACTTTTTAAAACAGATTTATTCTTACCTTTGTGCGTTGTGCTTCCAATTCAATGGTGGCATCTTCCAATTCGGATTGTATCTTCTTTTTACTCTTGTCCAAACGATCATTTTGAGCCTGCAATTCCTTGACTTGTCTCTCCAAATCCTCAATGCTCTTATTCAGACGTTTCTTGCCCTCTTCCAATTCCTTAACCATGTCGGAATCTTCTTCGGCCTTCTTTTTGATGTCTTGCATGGTGGCCGTCAGCTCGGCCAATTTGCGTTCGTAGTTCTTTTTTGTTTCTTCATCTTCTTCGAGCTGTTCCTGCAGCGCTTCTTTCTCAGACTCAAGTTGACGCAACTTCGAACTTAGCGATAATTTCTGGCGGGTTTCTTCTTCGAGTAACTGTTGGGTTTCGGCAAGTTGGGATTCCATATTGCTGGCTGATTTGACGGCGGCAGATGCTTTTAGTTCGGCTTCTTCCAGTTGATTCGTTACGTATTCGGCTTCCTGTTGAAGTTTTGTGCATTTCTCTTGCAATTCCGAACGGGCACGTTCTACTTCAGCCAATTTCACCTGTAACAATGAGTATGATTGATGATGAATTTCTATTTCTAATTCAATTTCTATCTCAACACAAAGGCTACGAGTACAAACAGCCAACATACTACTCTACTCTACACTCAACTACTCAACACAGAATCAATCAGAAATCAATCACATATCGACATAATAAGACGAATGGATCTTCAAATAACGTCAATATTTATTAGATTAAACTCATTCTCATTACATCGTATAACGATGGTGGTGGTGTTGGTGGGAGAATGGAGAGTAGTAGTTCTAAAAGTAGTTGAAAACCACAAAAACCTTTTAAGTTTCTAATGAAGCGTAGATATTTATGATTGCATAATATTTACGTCTGTACTCTAGTGCATTCATAGTTGCTTATATTGTTAGTTTTCATTCATTGAAGGAGATTTTGCGGTCGCAACTTGTAAACCGCAATAGCCTATGAGTCGGACAACTTTATTGAATGAGAAAATAGACATATGAAAATTACCTGTAATTCGGCAATTTGAGATTCGGCTTGTTTACGACGGCGATCGTTTTCTTGGCGGGAACTATTAACACTACGCAATTCGGTAGCCAAATCGGCATTTTCGGCTTCCAAAGTACTCTTGGCCTTTTCCAGCACAGCTTTAGCTTTACGAAGACTCTCCAATTGTTCATTAATGCTATTTAATTCCTGAACATGTTTATGTCTCATCTCAGCGATGTTCGATTCGTGATTTACAGTCTCTTCCTCTAGGGACTTTTTAAGGGAAGCTAATTCCTGTTCACGTTTAGAACGCAATTCTTGTTGGGCTGTTTAGAAATAAAGAAAATACTTTAGAAAAAGCTTAACAAATAAAATCAATTACTTGATATTACCTGCGGTTGTGTCTAGCGAATCCAAAAGCTCATTTTTAAGTGCCTCCAATTCTTCTCCCAAATCACGTCTTATCTTTTCAGCCTTGGCTCTGGCTGCCTTTTCGGCTTCCAAATCTTCTTGCAACTCGGCCAATTGTGATTCAATTTCTCGTTGAGCTTTTTGGGCCGCAGCTTTAGATGCTGATTCTTCATCAATACGCATGAGGGTTTGAGTAAGTTCTTCTTCGCGTTTCGCTAATTGTACCTGCAGTTCTTCGACTTGTGTACGTCGCTCATTGAGCTGCTCCTTAAGATCTGCCATTTCCGTTTCGATTTTACGTTTGGTACGATCGGATTCTTGTCTTTGCTGCTGATCTTTGTGTAGTCTTTCTTCTAATTCAGCTATGGTGGCTTCGTGTTTGGCCTTTAGTTTGGCCAAGTGTTTGGCTTTCTCTTCTTCTTCAGCCAAGGTTTGCGAAAGATCATTGGCTCGTTCCTCCAGCAATTTCTTTTCCTTAATCATTTTCTGATTTTGATCTTCGGTGAGGGCGAGTTCTTCTTCGTATTTCTTAATTTTGCCATCAAGTTGCACCTTTTCCAATTGTAGTTTTTGCCGAGCCGCTTCCTCCTCTTCCAATTGTTCCTCGAGGTCTTGAATGTTCAATTCAAGTTTCTTCTTTTCTACACCCAAAGACAATACACGCTCTTCCTCTTCTTCGATACGTGTTTCTAATTCTTGCATCATATCTTCCAATTCCTGTTTGCGAGCCATCAGTCTGGAACGCGACTCTTCCGCTTCAGCACAAAGTTCTATTTCAGCTTGCAACTGTTCGGCCAATGAGGTCTTCTCCTCCAACGCCTGTTGGTACTTGCGCTCAAACTCTTGGGTACTCTTTGCGAGACTTTCAAGTTTTTCGCGCACTTGCTTAAGCTCATCTTCCTTTTGAACGAGCTTTTCTTCTTGCTTCGTCACCTCGAGCAGAGGCTTGACTTTTGTGTACAAACGCCACCACTGCCAATTCCGTAACTTCAAATAGGCAGCACAATTACGCTGAATAATACGAATGGCATTCAATTGTTGCAAACGCTTTTGATAGTTACGTCTGGCCAAGAAACCACGGCAGAAAGCTTGGAAGTTTACAATAAGATCGGTGATCTTGTAATCGCGTTCTTCTTCGAGATGAGCTAAAACACCAGCGCGGAAGAAGATCTTCGACTGACCGACACGGAACAGATTCGAGTCGAGTTCCAGAGCTGCAATCATTTTCTCGCAAGCCTTCTTGCCATCCATGAAGCCCTTCGGTATGACGTTGGGTGTAAGCAATTCGTAGCGTTGACGGAACTCTTGGAATGGAATTCGGTTGGGGAAGCCCTGGCGACAAATACGAATACCTTCGAGCACACCATTACAACGCAACTGGTCGAGGACCAGAGGGGCATCAATCTTGCCAGCACGTTTCTCATGATTTGGTATGATACAACGCACAAAGTTCGGATTGGTGTTGCGCAAAGTGTCCATAAGTTTAGCCAATTGCTCCTTGTACAAATGCGATACCGTACGGAACATACCCTTGCGGGTACGAGCTCCGAATTGGGTATCGGTAAGAGCTTGATGAGCCATGCCAACAATTTCGGCATCTTTCCAAATGTTGACCACAAATGGATCTTGTGAGTTCTGTAGCAGAGAAACAATATTTTCATTTAACGGATCCATATTCTTCATCAACCACTTGGCAGCAGAATAATCCACTTTGCCGGCGTAGTGTACAATAGCAAAGTCGGCTACACCACGGAAATCTGTTTTCATGAATTTCGGATGCATTGAATGGGCTGACACCAATTTCTCAACGAAAGTCTTGTCGGTGGCCTTGGGGAACCAACACTCTTCATCCAATAGAGCCATAATACCACCAGGTTTATCAATCAAATCGATTGTCGGCTGCAGATCCAAACCGAAATCAATGAATTTCCACTCAATACCTTCTCTCTGATATTCCTCCTGTTCCAAAATGAACATGGTGTGATTGAAAAGTTGTTGCAACTTTTCGTTCGTGTAATTGATGCACAGCTGTTCGAATGAGTTCAACTCGAAGATTTCGAAACCAGCCATATCGAGAATACCAATAAACGAGGCACCCTGACGTTTAGTACGATCCAAAGAACGATTAATACGATTCACTAACCATTTGAACATGCGTTCGTAGCACGCCTTAGCAATTGCTTCCACAGCGAATTCGACCTGCTCCTTGGTCTGGGCCTTCGTAACGAAATCACGACCCACCTTTATGCGAGGCGTTAGGAAAGCACGTGTCATATCGGTAACACTCAAACCCAAAAGGTGGGCAATCTTCTGAGCCACCGTATTGTCAGGCAACGTAGCCTGATCGTTGTTGCGTTCCTGACGGAATTTCATACAGCCAAACAGCAGCACTGCACTCACAATGCGGAAAATCGAATTGAAGTCATCGGCGGTCATGCCCATGATGTTCATCGATTTAACGGTCGCTTGAAATTCGGCAAAATCATCGACACCGGGTACGGGCAGACTGCCGTTAGAAAGGAATGGATATGTTTTAATATCATCTAAGATGAATTTTTCACGTTGTTCAGGCGTAGCGCCAGCGAGTAATTGATAGAAAATATGGAATGTTCTTTCGTCTTTGGCTTGACGAATGGCACGAGATTTTTCGAGTAAATATGTTTCAATGTTGGCACCCGAAATATAACCAGAAGCATCAAAATTGATGCGTATAAATTTGCCCTAAAGATAAATAATATTGAAGATATTGTAAAGTTAATGAGTATCATGGAGATTTTAGTTTGTGTTTTAGATTTAACTTACAAAACGTGATGAGTTGTCGTTCTTCACGGTCTTGGCATTACCGAAGGCTTCTAAAATTGGATTGGCTTGCAAAAGTTGTTGCTCCAATTCGCCCTAAATGATTGATAAAAAGAAAATTTAAATTGAAACTAGTGAGTATTTTATTAATGAAATTTAAGCAATTTCTTATTTTAATTTTAGTTTTTAAAACATTTTCTTTTAGAAAAAAAGCTAAAACGACAAAAAAACTAAGTATGCAAAATAAAATTAACTACAAAAAGCAAATTAAGAATTATTTTATTGTTTTTTTTTTAGTTTAATACATATTATGGTTAGTAAATTACTTTTATTTTACAATATATTACATACAGAATGTTGAAAGAAAATAAAATTAATTAAAATACACAACAATTTTATTTTTTTTAGTATAATAATTTTGTTTATTTTTTTTTTTGTGGAATTTTGATTAATACCTTGTGAAATACTGACCGGCTTCCGGTATTTTCTGTTAATTTTGCATTTTCTATATCATGACAATGATTTTTTAAACATTCTGTTTCTGACATACCATGGACATTGCATTGAATTTTAAAGTTTTTCTTAACATTTACTTGCAAATTCTGAAATCAATTTTTAGTTAAAGCATAATACATATAGTTTTTTTTATTAAATGACAATAATGATGATGATGAGGTTGATAATTATTATTATATAAATGGTAAATGGTATGTAGTAATGGATAATGATGATGAGTTCAATTTAAAATATATATAAATTATTTAGAAAAGATCCCTTAAGTGTTAATTATAGGAATATATTTATTTGATAAATATTCACAGTTGTAAGTTATATTAACCAATGAACTAATTCATAGACTAATTAACAGACTTGTCAGATAGCCTATTCCATAGATTAGTCAATAGACCAAGCTATATACTAGTCTATAGGTTTTATTATCTATTGACAAGTCAATTGTCATTTAGTCTATTGACTAGTGTTTGAATTAGTCTATTGACTACTCTGTTGACTAGTCAGTAGACTTGTCTATGGATTAACTATTGAATCGTTTATAGATTAGTCTATGAACTAGTCTATGGACAATTTTTGACTACTATGTGCTCTAGTCTATGGATTAAGTTATTGATTATAAATTAGATTATAGACTAGTTTATGAATTAGTCTATTGATTAGTCTATGAATTAGTCTATGAATTAGTCTATTAACCAGTCTGTAGTCCAGCCTACTGACTAGTCAGTGGACCAGTCCATTGACTAATCAGTACACTAGTCTTTGGACTACTGCATTGAATAGCCTATGGATCAGCCTATAGACTCGTTTATAGATTAGTCTATTGACTATTCCATAAATTAGTAAATAAATTTACTACTCTGTGGACTAGTTGACTAGTTTATTGACTACTCTGTGGACAGGGCAAATGACTAGTATACTGACTAGACTTTAGGCTTGTTAATGGATTAGCCTATTGACTAGTCTGTAGTCCAGTGTATTGACTAATCTCTGGACTAGTCCATTGACTAGTATGTGGACTAATCCATTGACTAGTCTATAGATTCATATATTGACTAGTCTATGGATTATTCTGTGGACTAGTCTCTTGACTACTTTATGGACTAGCCTATTGAATACTCTATGTTCTAGTCTATTGACTACTCTATGGACTAGTCTATTGACTACTCTATGGACTAGTCTATTGACTACTCTATGGACTAGTGTATTGACTACTCTATGGACTAGTCTATTGACTACTCTATGGACTAGTCTATTGAACACTCTATGGACTAGTCTATTGACTACTCTATGGACTAGTCTATTGACTACACTGTGGACTAGTCTATGGACTACTCTATAGACTAGTCTATTGACTACTCTATGGACTAGTCTATTGACTACTCTATAGGCTAGTCTATTGACTAGTCTATTGACTTGTCTATGGATTAAACTAATGACTCGTTTATAGATTAGTCTATGAACTAGTCAATGGATATTATTCTGACTACTTTGTGATCTAGTCTATTAACTACTTTGTAGATAAGTCGATTATAGACTAGTTTATTGACTACTCTGTAGACATGGTAATTGACTAGTCTATGAATTAGCCTATTGACTAGTCTGTAGTCCTGCCTATTGACTAGTCAGTGAACTAGTCTATTGACTAATCAAGGAACTAGTCTATTGACTAGTCAGTGAACTAGTCTATTGACTAGTAGTTCCTTGTCAATGAACTACTGTGGACAAGTCCATAGACTATTCTGCGGACTGGTCTATTTACTAGTCAGTGGACTAGTCTATATACTAGACAGTGGACTTGTCTATATACTAATCAATGGACTAGACTATATACTAGTCAGTGGACTAGTTTATATACTAGTCAGTAATATAGTCTATTGAATAGTCAGTGGACCAGTCAGTTTGCTGATCTGTTAACTACTCTGTTGACTAATCTTAGGACTAGTCTATCGACTAGATCAGACAATAAACTATTTCATAGACTACATAACAGAATAGTAAATAAACTGGTTTACCGACTAGTCAGTAGACTAGACTAAGGACTATTCTATAGATTTGTCAAAAAAAAGTCCATTGGTACTAAACTTTCCATTTCTAATCCTAAATCCTATATTATTTTACTTTATGAAGTACACCGATCCTACAAAATCTTGAAGAGATTAATTTTTAGCAATTTCAGCAATTGCAGTAGAAAAACGTTTTACACCCAATATTGAAAATTGAACATATTTTATGTACATACAATATTACAAATAATAACTGAACTACATAAATTAAATGAAAACCGCAATTAAAAATTTTAATAAAATATGGAAAAAATAGAAATGAGAAAAAAAAAAACTACAAAATTATACTCTAAGAAAAACTCAATGAAAATAATGTTAAAATAACAACAATAAAATAAATTGTTGATAATTATAGAATTTATAAGTAATGATTTTTTATTATTATAAATAATTAAAAAGATTACAATATAAAATACTGATACTTTACCGCAAGTGTTCCTGCAGTACTACTCTAGATATTTTGGAAAATTAATGACACAAATGTTTAGCATCGCAAGAAGTTTTGTAATGTTTTTGTGAATTGAAACAAAAAAAAAAAAAAAAACGTAGACAAGACGACAATAAAAGGTTGAATGGTGGTAGAGGTTTACAATTACATTGATTTTTTTTTTTTTAATTTGTTACACACAAAATAAAGTGGTATATAAAAAAAATATATAGTTTTTTTATTAAGGGTGGGGGTAACAACAAATGGTATTGATTTAAAAAAAAAATTAGTTGAAAACATAACAAAATTAAAAAAGAGTTGCACAATATTTTAACAAAAACCAAGAAAAAAAGACGTAGATGATGTTAGAGTTGATGGTTAAACATATTGATGATGTTGGCGATAGTAAAGGAGTTGGTGGTGAAGAAGATGCACATGGTGAGCAAGATGGATAGCATTATGGTTTTTATAGTTTAATGTATAATAGAATAGAATATGAAAAATGCATTAGAATACCGGCAACAAATAATTCATTTAAAATGGGGGAGTTAACTTAACAAAAAAAAAAAAAAACAAAATTTAACAAAAACTAAACTAAATAAAATTGAAAATTATATAAATTAAAAGCTTTTTTAAACATAGAAATTAAAAAAAAACCTTAAACCATAAAAATAATAATAAAAACTAAATTTAAATAAAAAGCTTTTAAAAAATTACAAAAATGGTGATAAATTAATAATAAAACTTAAAAATAAACAATTTATATACAAAACCAGGAAATACTTACAATAATTAAAGCCGGATGTGGTCCCTTTATTGGTGTTTAATTAAAAAAACATACATATTGGTTTTAAAAAAATGTTTTTGTTGGTGGATTTTTGTTTGATTTAAAAGAATTTGTTTTTTTTTTTTGCAGGAATTGTTTGTTGTAAAGGTAATTTGTGGATGGTGAGAAATGTTGTAATATTTGTTAAAGTGTAAGTGAATATTTGTACAATTGTATTTACAATTTAGAAAATAAATAAATTATAACAAATATTTTCAATTTATTTTTTTTTTTTTTGATTTTGTTTTGCAGCAACAACCAATTTATGTTTACAACAACCAAAAAAAATTTTTGTGTGTACAAAAAGAGTAGAGTAGTTCATAATTATTTTGTTGTTTAAGGAGCGTGTTTAAATTTATATTTGCAGAAGTATACATGAAAATAAATAAAAAGAAAAAAAAAACAAAAACATGAATAGAAAAAAAATTAAAATTATATAAAATTTAAAGAAATCAATAAAACATACAAGTAGTAATAACAACAAAAATATAATTAAATATAACCCTACACCAAAATTCAAATTATAAATAAGTAATTATTTATATAAATTTTAAAAATTATTGAATTTTGATTAATCCATTTTTAAGTATAAAACTCTATATATTTCTAAACTTTTAAGAAATCTCTCTTGCTTGTTTTTAAACTCAAAATCTTAATTTTAATTTCATAACTTGATGTCATTAATGAGTGCAATATGACTTTTGTTGAAATTTTATGATTTATTTTTAAAATATGCCAGAAATTTGCATTTTAGCAAAATTTTGCAAAAGTCTAATATGCTTAACAAAGTGCTTAATAAAAGGCAGAAAATTATTAACAAAAATAAGTGCAAAAATTTAAAGTGATAAAGAAAAAAAGTTCAAAGTTATAGTAGGTACAGTAAGTTTCAGTTTAAAATAGAATAGTTCACCGGATCATGTCCACTAACTAGTATTAGACCATAAGACATTGTTAGCCAATGAAAGCTGAAAAATTTATCTTGTCAGATTGCCGCCGTAGTTATATTTTCAAACAATTAGTTAGTCGAGAGCGGATCTAAGTAGTGTTTACACAACATCAAATTTAGTCCAAGAATGCGGGGCACTCCTAAACGAGATGCCGAAACATTCGAAAATAGGGGTGTACTGGATTCCAGGACATCAACAAATTCCTGGTAATAACATTGCAGACTCACTTGTCAGGTCGGTGTGCTCTCACTAGTAAGAGAGCACACCGACCTTTTCGTTAGCATACCGCTCTTAACCTGCAAATGCTCTATACTTGAAAAACTGTATGAGCTTGCGCAACCTAGATGGTAAACTCAGGCCACTTGGAGACAGGCAAGGATCATGTGGCCATCATTCAACCCACAACGATCCCTAGCCCTTCTTTATGTTCCGAGAGTAAATCTACGGAACTTAACGGCAGTGGCGACTGGCCACTGGCCCTTTGGGCTCCATGCAAGAAGACTAAACTCACCCAGTAATGACTTCTGCAGGAGCTGCCATGAGTGTCTCCCACTTTGTCACAGACTGAATCTGCTAGGTAGCAACTTCTTGCATGACTTAACGGATCTATCGGAGGTTGATATCCGGAAGACTCTTATATGCGTGCGACAAACTGGTTTGGTTTATGAACCCAGAGTACTTAAGTCGAAGTGTAATAATACGCTGACCGTTTCTGTCATTTCAGGTATCATAAAGGGATCAATATACTGGGCCAAAGGGTGTCCCGAGAGCTGAAGTATTCATCTCACCGGATTGAGCATATTTCGTAGCTTTTGTTCGTATTAGCCAAAAAGTTATAGTTAGTACCAAAATTTGTTTCCCCGATTTGTCTTAATTCATTTTATGGAAATGTTCATGTGAATGGATTTGTCACTATTATAGATTGATTTTCGTGAGAATCTGTGACATCATCAAACAGTACTGGAACAGTAGAATGGATTGCAAAACAACAAAGGCCTTATGGCCTACATTTAATGTGATATCACAAGATACTTATGGCTTTCGACGGGGATTTTAACGGGGCATTTCTCAAGTAGGGCCTTTCTAGGTTTTATCAGGAGAATTAATTATCTCTTCCACAACATTTTATACGTGTAAAGTCGGTGTACATTTTATAGGGAGTTTTTGTGTTATTTCAAAACTCCATCCTTTCTGAATCGATTCGGTAAAACTTCCAGGTTGAAACCAACTTGGGAATCAATCTGTCTTTATATCTCTCTCTATTTTACTTTTTTTGAAGCTCTATTTTAGACTCTTAGTAGCTAGTTTAAGAGTTCAACATTCAGAGGTTAACCATTACGTTACGAAAACTGCTACTTCATCCGGATTCCTGAGAGAAATTCAGTATCTGTTCAGTATTTTACAGGTAGAAATAACAAACTGGCTGAGGCATTATAAATTATAGAGATATGCGCATATATATTGACAACAAAGCTGCGATCAGAAATCTAGCGGGTGTCTTCAGGACATCTAGGTCAACCGAAGAATGCGTGGTATCTCTAAGTAAAATAGTGAGACATTCCATAATAACTCTAACAAAGCTACTGTCAGGGAGAGTGTATAGCTATATACACTACTATATATATAGCTATAGTATAGCTGACGAACTCTCCAGTAATGTTGTAATGAGGGATGGGGGAGGGGGTTCGTTCGTGCCATGTCCACTACTGCTAGTCCTCGAGTTACCCTAGTTTGGCGAACTCTTGATACGCCTATGATAAGTTTATGAGATCCAGAGATAAAATATTCGATTGACAAAATTCTTGTGAAACTTACTGTACTTTTAATAATAAATATAAAACGTTAACAAATTCGCAAAAAGCTTTAAAAGACGATATTTAACCTATTTAAACAAGCTGTTAAGAAAAAGTTTAAACGCACCTTTTTATAAAAAACAAACAAAATGGAAATTAAAAAAAAAAGTATAATTAACCTTAATATTTACAAAAATTTATGAAAAAAAACAAATTGCACTTATTTTATTTAAATCTAAAACACATTTTATTTAAAAATCTAAAACTAATTCTGCTTATTTTAACACTTACTTTCGCCTATAATATTTTAATAGAAAATGGTGTAGGATAAAATATATATTTTTTTTTAAATTCTATATAGTAAACAAAGAAAATCGTTATTATTATTTTTTTAAAGGGCTTAACTACATTAATAAATTGTTTATGTTTTAAAGGTTAGAACATTTAATCAATTAAACAAAAAATGTTTGTTTATTTGTTTTTAATTTTTTTGTTCTTTTAAGATAAGATTAATTTTAAAGTAGTTTTTCATTCGTAATAATTATTTTTATAGAATTTCTTATCATTTTCATTTTATCGATTCATGTTCAAATAGAAATGAGTGTTGTATGTCGATCGGTCGGCACGGTCTCTGTTGTTATTATAACGTAACATTATAAATGTGATTCATAAGGTCTAAAAGTTTTTTGTTGAAATTTTGTTTAAGACATTTTTGCCCAAGTTAGTGTTTTTTAATTTATTGACACATTTTATATATGGTGTTTATTTTGTTTAAAATATTTTTTTGTAAAATGCATAATATACTATTTTTAGTAATCATGATAAAGATAATTAATCGTCACTAATAAATAAACAAATTTAGTAATGTTTAGTTTAGGCGATTGATTGCCATCAAAATGCAGTTAGTTTTACTTAGTGCTGTTAAGAGCTGGGAGTGCGCACAAAATAAATTGTGCACACTTTGGAGGGTTAAAACTTTGATTACAAGAGAACTTAACTGTTATTATATTTAACTGGAATAATGCATAGAAATATGGGTCCTACAAACATCTTAAAGTATAGAAATCGCCTAAGGATCATTTACTGATTCTTGAATTTCGAAAAGAATGAAATTTTTCCATGCCGGGAGAGAAATTGTTTTCAAGTTTAAGTTTTTAAAAAACCTAATGGGGTTGATTCGAGAGTACCTCAAAGTTGTTCTAGAATTGGTAGAAACAGAACCACTTTAGATTCTTGAACTATAACCTTTGAACTAGTGATGTCGTCATTAATTCTAGAACCCATTCTGTTTAACATAGTTGCTTGTACTAATTCTTTGTAAGTTTGCAGAATTTTACAGACTCAAAAGCCCGATAATAAAGTCAGAAACCTGAGCGGTCAAATGACAGATACTTAAGCGAGATAGCAAAAAGTCTACTACAACGATTAAGGGTACTCGGACTGCATCACCGATTAAATTAGGTTACAGAGGCAGTCAGCGTGAAAAGCCGACTTACTTGAATTCATAATTGATCCCATTGTGATACAAGAATGGATTGCTCCTCGGCGCAACGTTTATATAACTTTACTTATATGGCAAGTGCCGTGTCAAACCAACAACGAAAAAACTAATCTAATATTGTGAATGTTAATACAAGAAAGATCAACAAATTAATGCAAGAAGGTACGGACTATGGTGGCCCATCTTAATCAGACAGAGAACACACACACAAAGAACTTTTTTTCTGGTCATTACGACTTCTGCAGAAGCCTTTAAATGGAATATTTTATCTGTTAGAGCCCAATCAATGACAACAACCTGAGATTGTCGTAGATTGGCTAGATTATTCGTGCTATCGAACAGGTTCGCATTCATGATCTAAGCAGACCTATATAGATTCAGTCACATAAGAGTTTTATAGAAAGTCAGAGTACCTTTTATAAGGGCGAGAACCAGTTTTAGAATATCTCATTGACAGGCAAATTGAAGTGGTCCGGTGCCCAAAACTGTTTGCAGATTCGTATGTTAATCTAGCTCTTTAAGATATATTCGACAGTCTGGATGTCGTATAGACACCAGAGGGGTGTGATGTCGGTACAAATTGGGATATTTCTCCCGTACATCTTACATTTTATGCCTGGAGGAAGCTGCACTAATCGTGATACTTAAAACATACATTCCTTATAAAGTTTGGGATGTAAAAGCCACCTCTTTAACCCCTCTAGGACAAAAATCATATACTTTTTCTTAAAACGTTTTCTATAT